AATGTCACACGCACCAATTGGAGAACACTTGAACCTACTCCGCAATCCTACTGAAGCAACTGCGACCACTGTCATATTCTCTCTCAGACCTGGCTGGACGCAGTCGGCACTAGCCCTGATTTCGTCAGTGGCTACTGCCGTCTGAGACAGCAACTGGGAGTGTTGTATACAATAAATCCTGCCCACAGGTGCCTTCAGCTTTTTACATACTACTTTGGATTTTGGCCTGATGACTACTTAGCCACTACATGCAATTATGTGCTTACTCTCTGATACTGTTCAAGCGATCGCATCTTCGTATTCCGAACTTCTTCCTGGAACTCGCCTTTCCGCTTCTATCAGTAACTACGAGGTCCAGCAGTAAACATGCCAGGGTTGGACTGGAATATGGCCGCAATATACCTCGCAAACGCGGTAATCCAAACACCAGTCCAATGTTTTTAAGTTCGCGAGAACGTAAACTGTTGAAACCACCACAAATATCACCTTAGAACAAAGGTTTGTAAACTTCGCGTTTCCTACCAGGCTCTGAAGCTTTTAATAATCGAACTCCGTTTGGATAACCATGTAGGCATGGATTTCACGGGAAGAGTGGTGATGGACATATTTCATTCGCGCCTAGGTGGTGCCCGTTATAAAAAGGTGCAACGTAGTCCAACAGGGTTGCAGGGTTCCTTTCCGATTCACAGCACAGACCTTAACAATTCACTGTCGCACATTGGCTAAGAAACACGCAGTGAAGACCCTGAAGCCATTTCTACCAAGTCCAACATTACAATAAGTATGGCTATCATTTTTACACGGTTATTTTTGTTATGAACACACCGCACGCTCCGCTCAACTGATTGGTTGAGTAGACAGCCAATGCTGTCGTGAGCTAGCGTGACATCGGCACGCGCACGGCATGGCTGTCGGCGAAAAGGTAATGACGTTCCATATTCAGCGCGGGATGGGCATGAGCCAACGCCACAGACCACGAGATTGCAGCAATTAAGGACGGATTACGAGCGCCAGGGCATAGGGATATTGGAAAATAGGCTAGATACGTGGTGGCGTAAAAACTGTGAACATTTTGCAGTCACCACTATTATCTCCGACTGCATGTAGTGCTGGCTCGAGGAAGAATCTGCAAATTCAGGTTTCAGTGATAGCAATACAATCTTCTGAATTGCTTCTTGGGACTGGCTCATATAGAAAAAATGTACTTAAACTAAAAAAACACAAGTACCATGCTCCGTGCAGTCAATGACGATTGGCTCGCCATAGAGGATGCGTTCCGCGGTGTCCACAGTGTGCAATACTCTGTGCACCAACCAGAGACCATCGAGGAAGAGTGCAAAGCAGAGGAGATGCACCCAATTCAGCTGAAAGGCTTCACTGTCTGCGTCGCCCCGGCCGGTGGAATCTTGCGAACGCGGTTTCGGTGGTTGCGGTGGTTGTTCGCCTGCGCCCCCGCTACCGGCACCGGTGGGGCTATTCGTCCACTCACCGGTCTTTTCATGCTCCTCGTAAACCGTCCAA